TTATTGGATTGTGGAAATTGTTGAGTTTTATTGAAATTATGACAAGATTACTATTAGACTACTGTTGGAAAGCTAGAAGCACTTGATGACCTTGTATGGAACTAATCACCAGTGCACTTCCACAACGTTCGAATACAGGAATCGAACTCAGGGCCTTCGATCTCATGCGTGAACGTTTAACCTCTAGATCTAACACACAATGTGTACATGCACTGCCAAAAAGAGTCGGATGCTAGTACGAAGCGACCGTCCATTGCTTCCAGATTTCTAATAAAAGCTTAACACTGATCGATTCCCTATTTCATTAAAAAAACTGTCAAAATTATTGATTAAGTCATTTTATCAAGTGATTTGCCAAGAAGTAAAAAATACCTTGGTAAAATAAGGCAAAGAACATGACTAGCTGGGAGAAGAATCTACAAAAGCCATAAGTGAACTTGATGGCCGTTTCAACAGACAGATTACAATCAACTGTTGACTTGACTTAGGAAGATTCAGCTTTTACCGTATATCACTAACTGGAAGAAGTTAGATCACTCAACGCCAACTCAACACTCAAATGTTAACAGTCTCACCTTTAGGAATTATGGGTCCTTTTCTTGATCTCTGTCAGAGTGCTGGCATAAAATTACATAAACATTCTAAACTAGAAAGAATCAATTGTCTGATAGTCCTCGATTTTTTACTAGTTCTATAGATTAAGGTAATCTGTGATTAAAAGATCATAAATCTTATGATTAATTCAAATAAAAATGTTTCGTTCACTTAAGTTGGTTAATTCATTTTGGTTTACTTTTTTTTTGTGGATAAACAGTCCATTTCAATTCAAAATGTTTGTAAATAATCATTAATTTATAAGAGAGAGAAAAAGAAACAGTTTGTACATTCATCATTTAAATCACTACATCAATAATTAAAACAATCATCATCCAGTATATAAATAAGACATTGAACACATTTACAGATTTTTTGGTTAATTCACCCGCCACCCATAAAATTATTAATTTAATAATGTAAACTGATTGATATTCATACAATTAAAATGAATCATCAGTTGAAAATTATTCTTATTGTAATGTTTATACAATTAGTGTACAACTAATTATTGTACTTAATGCATACTGTCAGTAATTTTTTATGTGACAAGAGTAAGTTTTGAACATGATATTGGTTCAACACTACTTTTATATGAAACCATGAATCGATCAATGTTAGACCATCATTAGAAACCTGGAAGCACTAAACAGCCGTCAAGTTCTGGTATGGGACTCATCACTGACAGTGCGCATCCACGACTCCTGCACCCCGCAGGATTCGAACCCAGGACCTTCGGTATTGTAGGCGAACGCCTAAACGTCGGACCACTGAGCCGGTATCTAACGGTGTTAATGTCTAACTTGATCAATTCACGGAGTTGCGCAACCTCATACACAGTCTTCGGTAGTTACTGTCTACACCCATACAGGTTGAACTTCACTGGTCACGTCCTCCCACTAGAACTCGGAGATCCCTCACGAAGCTAGTCACTAGTGAGCAGAGGTAATTTGCATTACGGGGTTGTTGTGAAGATTGTTAAGTTTTGTTTGATCGATTGATCGATTCATGGTTTCAAATAAAACTTAACAATCTTCACAACAACCCCGTAATGCAAACTACTTTTATAGTTAATAGAATAAAATATAAGAGTAATTACTGGTGGACTTATGTTACAAGATATCTCACAATTTGATTGTGTAAGTGGTTTGACAATTAAATTAGGTATAACACTGAGAGGTGCAGGAGTCGTGGATACGCCCTGCCACTGATGAGTCCCATACCAGGACGAAACGGCCGTCCAGTGGCTTCCAGGTTTCTAATAGTGGTGATCTAACAATGATTGATTGATGATTTCAAATGTGTAAAAACACAAATCTGCAAAACTCTACCTGAAAATAACACTTTAGATAAACAAGTAGCATAAAATCCGCTATGACGATTTTATAACCGGTTTCTGATTGATTTGTTTAAGCAGTGTTTTTCTCATTAACCATGACAAATTTTTTATAGTTCTTTCTTTTGTTAAAACAAACTATAGTTTAATGAAACAATCTCCAGAAATCATGAAAATATTCGTCTAAACTAAAGAGATTATGTCAACTTATCGAGAGACAGACTTAATTCAAACTGACAATTTTTATTTTTATAGCGGAAATTGATCATTGGATAAACTTTCAATGCACTGAAATATTCTGATGATCAGTATCACATCATTTTTTATTAAATGTGACGATTAGATTACGTTAAGGGTTGTTCGACTTTCATAATTTACACTACGAATAAGTTATTATTAGAAAACTGAAAACCAGGAAGCAATGGGCACCTAGTATATTCAAGTTTAAGATGTTTCAGTAGCCGAAAAACCGTGTATACCACTGGATGACAACTCAATAGTCTAGCAGTTAAGTACACACAACTGACATCTGAAGGTCCTTTCAGAAAATAAGGGCCTACTACAAAGGATTCCTTTACTAAAACAGAAATGCTTGTCTAATTGAGATCATTTCATAGTTTGAACTATGAAATACAATGATAATACAGTATTTATGTATTAAAAAGTAGCAAGATAAATACTTACAGCCTGTGTAAATAGTTTATAGTTAAAAGTAGTTTGGAAACTAATAAAAAAATGATATGAGTTCACAGTTCGAATAAACGAAACCAATCTTTTAGTTATAGTTACAATTATAAACAATATTTTATTTGTAATACATTGAGATCATGAATGAAAGATTGTTAGACTACCATTAGAGAAACCTAGAAGCACTGGAAGATAGTTTCGTACTGGTATGGGACCCATCAGCAGTGCGCATCCACAACTACCGTTACTCTCAATAATCGAACCTAGGACATTCGGTCTTTCGCGTGAACTCTTAACCTCTGAACCACTGAGCCGGAATCCAACGGTGTTAATGTCTAACTTCGATCAATCCACTGGGTTGTGCAGTCGCACCGATCATCTTCGGCATTTACTTCTTACACCCGACAGGATTAAACTCTACTAGACACGTCTCCTCACCAAAACTCTGAGAATTTCCCAACGAAGCTAGTCACTAATGAGCACATTTTATGGTTTTTTCATTGTAGAATTATGGATATCATTGTTTTACATTGTTTTACTTTTTTTAATTATTGTAATCAAATGATTATTTATTGTCTACAGAATGTATACACATATGTATAAGTGTTTTAATGAAGTATTTTACATTTCAAGATGTAATAATCTTCGCATTGTACACAAAAAAAACTGAAAAAAACACTAGTCATTTGAATGAATTATCGTCAATACTACTGAATTAACATAAAATCCACAAAAAACAATTTACAATACATTACATAATCATCTAAGATGATTTACATTTTTACTACATTTTATCAATGTAATTGTCTCCATTAATCTAAACTGTTTTTCAACCCCCTTAATTTTTTATTTATGTAATTAACACAATGTAACAAGAACAAGATTGTCTTGTTTTCTTTTTCCAAGAAAAGACAATGCAACTTGTTAATTAATAGCTAGTCGCCTTAAATAATTAGCTTATTATTATTTTACTGTGTTGTTTCTTTTTTCTTGATCAATGCTCAATGTCCATTAATTTATATTGTTCAATCTTTCTAAATGAGTCTTATTCAATTGTACAAAACTGTGTTGATGATAATAATAATAATAATAGCTTTTATTACTAAATTTATTAATTATGTCTCAATAATTCAATTAATATACATATACATTTATATATATACACAAAAATGGAAATTAAAGCATCAATGATCAATAGAGAGTTATTTTGCAACTTGAACATTGAACAACAAGCGTAAATTTTCGCATCATTTTCAAAATGAATATTTTGTGCGAAATTAAAAACATTACAATACTGTCTAAGCATTCTTTGATGATTGTTGTATACATATTAAAACCGCATCATATATATTTACATTTGAATTAGTGCTGTATATATATATATTGTTTTAGGTACATTCAATCAACAATTCATTTCATGTGGTTTACTGCAGATTTTATTTAAATGCATTCATTTTTATACAATAAAAACAATATTGTGTTTTGAATAGTTTAGTTTGAAAAATCAATACATGTATATATATATAGTTCAATGGTAGAATAATGAATTACAAATTCTTTACATAACCAGTGAAAACTTCTTCATTTGTTATAGTTTGAGACAAAAAAGTGCGATATTAACAGTTTTCTAATAATATCTGAAAAGCTGTGATATATTGATTGGTAATGCTACAATAAAGTAATTGCATTAGTAAGGTTTAAAACAACAAAATCAGTTTGAAAATACAAGTAAATTGAATAACAACAGCCTTCCAGGTTAAAAATTAAAATTGAATTTTGAACAATGCTTTCAATGATTCATATAAACCAACAACAACAACAACGAAACATTTCAAATAATTATTCTCATAAAACTGTCTTTAGAAATACTACACACTGGTACATATGCATAGAAGATATACAGTGACCTAGGATGAAGTAAACTCATTTTTCGTGGTCAAAATGTTCAGTTGTCCTGCTTTACAAAACTATCATTAAAACCGAATAGAGTCAAATGTTTTGAAAATGTTAAATACTTTAATTTATGTACATTGTATTATATTTCTAAAATAGTATGGAGAATTTAGGAATATATATTATATATATTTATAGACTACTGATTTTCTTTAATCAGTAGTATTTCATATGAAATCACTGGCTATTGTTTGCATTTCGTAAAAAAAAATTAATCATAAGAAAACGAAATAAGAAAGCATGTTTGTGATATAGATTTCTATGCAAATTCATGTGTGTTTCATTGAAGAGAGTGCCACTTTCATTTCAGGAAAAGTGTGTGTGTTCGTTTGTTCTAATCATTAACAACAACAACAACAACAACACCTCCAAAACAGCATATCCATATGTTTCCCAATTTTTTTTCTTCTTCTGTGGATAACTGAGTGAATTATGAACGATTATTATCGATCAGTTGACATTGTGATACACCTAAACATGTTTCAGGCAATGTACCTTGTGCAAATATACTAATCCAATAAATTGCACTGATTAAACAAAAACACACAGTGATCAATGTTTTCAATGCAGTTAAACAATAAGTTGATGGATAATTATTTACATTGAATTTGTACACATTCATATATGGTGTACAAGATGACTTGCATAAATAACACTGATGCGGAGGATGCTGATGGTGATGATGATGATGTTGTAGAAAAGCACCGAGAACAGCAGTTGTAGGAGATGTCGACAAATTGGTATTATTATTATTATTGTTATTATCATTGAGAAAATGTGCTTGACATACATGACAATCAGATTGATTGAAATCCACACCTAACGCATTCATCATATTGTTGGCCCGACGTGAATTTCGCCATCTTAATCCACGAAATGTACCGCTGTTCATGCCGTTGCCCGACTCTGAACTACCTGAGCATAAATAACTGTCACCATAATTCTCCTGTGTTTGAGTAAAGTAAAGTAAAGTAAGAAGACAGAGAGAGAGAGTGGGGGAACATTTTGATTACTTTATTTGTGATAAAAACATGATTATTTTAAATAATAAACGCAAATGGATGAGTCTGCTAATATACATATATTGTTCATTGAATATTTTGTTTTAATATAAAAATGTATTCTTCTCTACGGATAACTCATAATTAATGCATTAATTGATATAGTATATAGAGAACATAACAAGTTTACTTATAATTGTGTAGGCTTACATAGGCTAACTAAGTGGTACTTAAATTAATGTAGAATACATTCTAATGCATAATGACAGTATAAAAAATTATATAGGACATTATAGGATGATTCACTAGTAAATTTCAATTAACAATGATGTTAGTTAGACTTGGTTCAGCATAACTAACTTCAGTGGATGTTGATCAATATGGTAGGATTGATTATTTTTTCGGCAAGATAGAATTTTGGAAATTGTTGTTTTTGAGATGGTGAAGAAAACTTATAGCTCACGTGGATGATTGTGGTGGTTTTTCGTTGTTCTCTGAGCTGGTTGTTATGGTTGTGGAGCTTTCATTGTTCTTCTACTGAACAACATCATCAGCACAAACTTCGGATGGAAGAAGTGAAGCATTCGAATTTCTCCACATTTGATCTGTAGCTTGTTTTGCTAACCTCGATCTTGATTAGTTAAAGGTCAACAGCAACCAATCAAGATCGAGGTTAGCAGAACAAGCTACAGGTCAAATGTGGAGAAATTCAAATGCTTCACTTCTTCCATCCGAAGTTTGTGCTGATGATGTTGTTCAGTAGAAGAACAATGAAAGCTCCACAACCAAAACAACCAGCTCAGAGAACGAAACATCACCACGAAATTGTTGTTTTACGGTGGAATCATGAATTAGTGATTGTTAGAGCACTATTAGATACCTGAAAGCAGTGGATGACTGTTTCGTTATAGGATGAGACTCTTCAGCTATGTGTATTCATGATTCCTTCTACTCATAGGAATCGAACCAAGGAACTTCGGTCTCGCTTAAGAACCCACGAAGTATTTATTTTATAAACTGTAGAATTTAAAGCTCATTCTAAAATGATGATAATTATTTACGAAAACTTCGACATCCACCAAGACATTTTACTTCAATTGAACTGTACATTATTCATTAGAAAAATAAGGCTGCAATTTTCATTTTAGATTGACTAGACCATTTTATGTGCAACCGGAATAACATTTGATATTCCCTTAGTTTTTAAATTGTGTGTTAATTTCTTTTCAAAATAATATAAATGTGTAGACTGTTAGAAGGCTTTGTTTGTGAAAATCCCTCCATGTATACATACACTTGTAATTTGTTCTTATTGATTATTCCTTCAGTTGTACATTTTGTTAATCTGTTCGATTTCATTTGAGATGATAATATTTGTATTTTATTATAGTTTCTATTTCTTTTGCCTTCATTGAGTTTCTATGTTTCTTTCTGAACTGCATTGATGTTGTTTAAGCTGATACTCAGTCATGGCGACAGCCATATTGATTTGTTCCTCTTTTGATTGAGTTGCTTGCTTTAACAGGAATTGTGCATTTTGATTGTGAATTGAAGCACTCATCAAGAATAAGAAGCAATGTGTTATAAAGCAACGAATCTGATCTATCCAGGAAGGATAGAATATCATTTATTTGTTGCTGTTGATTTGATTAATTGAACATTTGTTGGTGGAATAGCTGAGTGGCAGTATTGTTTAGGTAACGATGTATATATTTATATTTATGATGAATATCAGAACCGTTATTTACCCAAATCACCTTGTTTTGGTTTTAAACTGGGCAATAGCGCGTATCTAACCTACCTAGACAGTTATTCCTCAATCCAAACCTTAGTTTAGATTATACATAGACTACTTATTCTTTTGATTTTGTCAACTTGTTTAATGAACTGACATCATTGATCACACTTAGAAGAAACATTCACAGTGTAAAGTAATACTTAAAACAATAAGTTATTGAAATATATATTCACAGTCTGACTTCAGATGAAGGACAGGTGAGTAAAATTTAACTGTAGGTAGATGCTTCTACCTGGTCTGACATACTTCGACAGTTTGCATCACTGACTGAATCCAAGATTTTCATTTTTTTTTGCTAAGGATGTTACTTTTACACCATCCTATTGAGATTTAATCGCCAGTCGCCTTAAATTCATTTGATTTGTGATAAACATATCTTCTGTTAATGAGATTTTACACAGAATTTTTATTATAAAGTCTACAAATTCAAATATCGTTTATAATGTTGCCAGTAAGTCATCCAACTAGCTACCGAATACAAACAGTGCAATTTATCCTATATAGCTCTACTAACTGCATTTACTTCATTCTTTATACAATTTGTAGCAATTATTAGGTTTTGACAATATCAACTACTAACTCAATCAATCAATCGTAACGTAGAACTTCGTACATACGTACATCAGTTTATGTTGCCATACTACGTTAGCACAGAGATGTAATTGTCAATTCAAATCAAATAGTAGTAGAGGTAGTAAAGATATTATCAGTAGTCAGAGAGGTTAGGATTAGAAGATAATATTCAAGAAGTAGAAACTAGTGAAATAGACTTAAAAAGATAAAGATGAGGAATTAAAAAGTCGAGGATTTGAGAGAACACAAACAATGAATGCACCTGAACCATTGCAAACGGTTTCGAGCCATATCATTCAAGGTCTCTAACCATCGATTACTAGCATCTCGCGGACCCCAACCAGGTATTCGACACCTACAGATATAACTCAGTCCACTGGTCAGTGACTTCATGCATTTCTGCCTTGTTTTGGTTTGGCCGCCCCTAGCTTTCGACCAACCTATTCCTATACCGCAAAACAAAGCTCTTCTAGGCAGTCGGTGTTTAGGCATACGCAACACATGTCCCAACCACCGCAACAGATGAAGTTTCAGCACTTCATCTACGGATCTACTATTCTTACCTAGTACCCGTGTCCTAACAACAGAATTACTCTCTCGGTTATCCCAGGATATACGAGCAATGCTTCGAAGACACCGATGATCGAAAACAAGTAACCTACGAATATCTTTTACTCTGGCTGGCCATGTTTCACAGCCATAAAGTAGGACAGAGCGAACTACTGAACAGTACACTTTTATTTTAGTCAGCAAACGGAAATCTCGCCAGCGCCATAAGTGACGCATGTTGGCAAATACCAATCGACTCCTCTGTATCCGTGCTGAGATTTCGTCAGTCACCAGGCCATCAGCACTGATGAGACTCCCGAGATAAGTGAAGCGGTCGATGCCCTCAACTGCTTCACTCCCTATCACTAGTTCAGGTGCCAACAACTAACTCAGTTAATATTTTTAAAATGTGTTTTAACAAAAAGACAAGTAAGTGATGAAGCAGCATTTTTTTTAATTTGTGACGAGCATTATTCACTCTAGAAATAATTAACTGAACTTACTCGCTTATTAGTTGATAAACCCATTGATTGATTAAGTCCTATCGGTCCTGGACTATTGTTATGATTATTACTGTTTACTGTTTGATTTGTCGATAATATCGGTATTGCTTGACATGCATGACCACTTCCACCAGATAAACCACAACTACTATTACTATAACACACAGCTGTACCATTCGATGAAATAAACCCGGTACTTGTTCTTCCTGCCAAACAACTCGTACATGAATCTGGACATGCATCACAATTGCCACAACATCCATAATTTTGCATCAACCCTAATCCATTCATCATACGTTCATGAATTGGACCGTCGGCATTAAAACCGGTTGAAGTTGTTTTCTGATTAATATTATTATGATTATTGTGATTATGATTTAAGCCTAACGACGAGAAACGATCCAGTTGTTGAGATTTTCTTTGTAAAAATCGACACACCAAACGATGATGTATTAAAACAAACAAGTAGATGAAAAAAATGGTACTTGAACACATGAAACACCATACACTGAGGCATCCAAATAATTTGGCATTGTTTAAATGTTGTTCATTGATCCATAACCAGAATGTAATTGAAAGCAAGAATAAAATACATTGTGTACACATAAGATTCTGTGTACCTAGTTGATTAGTCCATAGTAGTAGGATAGAAATGAGTACAAGTAACACTGGAGGTAAACTACCTTGAAATATTCGACCAGTTTGTGAGAAACAAATATTAATTCCAAGACTTTGATCTGGACCTGTGAATTCATTGCCAAGGAACAAAAAAATGATGATATCAATTTTCATTCATTAAATACTAGTCCAATTTAATGATAGATTAAACTATTTTAAAAAAGTTCTGACAAGATACGTGATATCGATTATTGGATTAATGGAGGGAATGATGGTATTGATCCGGAGATTTAAGTTGTGTTGAGAACACACAAGGATGATGTTTATTGAGTAAGTATGTGAAAATGAGGTTGATTTACATATGACATAATCGTAGAAAAATATAAAATCATTGAAAAAGTAATTGTTTTTATCAAATAGATGCCAGCTCGGTGGTCCAGAGGTTAGGTGTTCGCGCACAAGGCTGAAGGTCCTAGGTTCGAATCCTGCGAGGTTCAGGAGTCGTGGATGAGCACTGCTGGTCAGTGCTTGTGGGTTTCTAATGGTGATCTAACTTAACAATCTTCACAACCCCGTAATGAAATGAAATAATATCTCACCATCTGGAATCATAAAATGTCTCAGTTTATGGTATAAGGTGTTTTAATACTATAGTTTCTGAATTCTTACATTTTTGACTAAAGTGGTTGAGAATTTCTTTTTAAAATAATAAAGATCTGCATTGTAAATATTAGAACAGTACATATAAGCGAACAATATTGTTTTCACATAGATTGTCATCAGGCTTTACTCTAATATACATGAATATTTATATGAAAATGTTAAACAGATCAAGGCAAATTATCATGAGTTAATAATCACAATGAAATAGATTACGTAACCACAAGTGTATTGTGGGTGGTAAGCATAAAAGTACACTAAAAAAGGTTTTTATCAATAGTTCAACAGTGGAAATAGTTGGGTAAATAGACTTAAATAATAGTCATCACAAAGCTCTATTCAGTTTTATCTATTTTATGACTGTTATCAATCAGTTTGGCCAAGACAGAAGTGTGTATTGTCCTTATCTGGCCCTTCCCAAAGCATACTGGGAGATGTTCACTTATTAGTTAGTTAAATTGCCTGGTAGTTCGCCCCATTTAGGAGTAGCTGATTCTACAAAATACACATTAAGAAGGCTAATTCAAGTTACTTATCTTTTGTTTCAGTAGGCATCAATCGTCGACTAGAAAATGTCAACACAAAATTAACTAAGTCGAATGCCCTAGTAATTTTCTTCACTAATCTATCATGCAGACCATGGCTAGCCACATCCTCAGTGAATGAATTGTAGTCTAAGGAATAGAGGTTTCTTTGGAATGATCAAAGTTTTCAACTTGTATTTTACTATCTGCGTGCACTTCTCTAAGCTATTGAGCTATTCTTGTCAAGAAATTTGGGGTTCAATTGTCGAATTCGATTAAAAAAAATCTCAAAATAAGGCTCAAAGTAGAACAATAATTCTAGATATTTCAATTTCTTGTATATAGTTGTTTGAATGATTGAACTAGTATTTGTAAATTCTTCATTTCATTTGTAGTGCGTTAATAACATAGTCAACGAAAAACTTTACATTATAATCCAAAATGAAATTGCTAAACGCAAAATACTAATGGTTAGTGTGTGATATCCAGTTTTTAACAGTGAATGAAGTGAATAAAAATTATAGCTACTTGGTTTTAGTTAATAAGTTACCCCTAACTTAGGTCTCCTCATATGGTCGAAAAATGAAATTTTTGGGAAACCCGAAAAAATCATTGCCCGACATGAGACAAAAGGTAATAGAAGTGTTTGGGCCTATTCACATCAAGCTGGGCTGCCTCTTCTACTATCCTACGCCATATCTGTGTGTACCATATGCTATACTGCTATATAGAGCTGAAGGTCTCCTATGAGACTAGAGGTTCACTGTGAACATTGTGGATGGCTTGGCTTTGCTTTGGTAAGCATTGTTAACAGTCCATATACGAAACCGGTTACCAGGGCGAAAGATTTCGTTGATATAGGTGGTTGTTTTGCAACATTCTCGAGGGTCATTGTCATTGGGGTGCTGTATTACATATCACCATTGCTAATAATAATGAGTTTGACAGTCATGTAAGCGGGATCGGTCGAAATGGCCTGTTCATGCGGTGCATATTGATTGACGCGATCATTGATCGGAAATATATATACCAGTGTGTATATATGAAATGGTGTGAATGGTCAATCAGAGGGTATCAGGTACCTGTGTGGTTGCACCACAGGATTCAGGTAGTAATGGTAAAACGTTTGCAGTCTCTTTGGTTCTCCTGAAAACCAATGTAAATTTATATAATTGAAAAAAAAATACGATAACATAAATAGGTTGGTGAATATTTACACATCTTCGTTAGTGGTAAACATTTACTTCCTTTTCATCAGTATATTATTTTCAGTTAAACAAGAAAAAAGATTTATTGATACAATAAAGAAAAAATCTCATTGTAGGAAGGTGAAATGTGACTTCAGAAATTTCAGTACTTAAGAAAATATCACGTTTTAATCAATAAAGGTAATGAACAAATATACGCTATTTTCAGCAGGAATGTTTTAACACAACACTAGAGTTTAAACACATTTGAAATCATCAATCAATCATTGTTAGACCATCATTAGAAACCTGGAAGCACTGGACGGCCGTTTCGTCCTGGTATGGGATTCATCAGCAGTAACTACCAAAGACAAATGGGTGAGGTCACGCAAAAATCCCTAGATCAATCAGAGTTAGAAATTAACACCGTTTGATGCCGGCCCAGTGGTCCGATGGTTAGGCGTTCGCGCACAATACCGAAGGTCCCGGGTACGAATCAGGGGAGGTGCAGGAGTTGTGGATACGCACTGCCACTGATGAGTCCCATACCAGGCCGAAACGGTCGTCCTGTGTTTTCAGGTTTCTAATGTTGGTCTAACAATGATTGATTGTTGATTTCAAATTTGTAAAAACACAAGACCTCCAAAACTCTGCCCTAAAACTAGAGTTTATGCCAAACAGGGAAACTGTATTCCTATTTGCAAGAAATTGTATAAATTGCTAGTTCTTACTATGCTAATAATAATTTACTTATCCATTAAAATTAAAAACACTCCTTTCTATTACTTACCAGACTTGTCCAAATGTTCATCATAACGTTTTGTAACACTTAAATAAGATGATTTCTTTTGTACATCATTCGAGAGTAGACAACATTTACGTTCAGTCCATTTAATGACTGGTTGTGTTTTAATGTAACCTTCTAGAAAAATTTTTTAAGACAATAAATACAGTAAATTAAATGAACAAGAAAATCAATGACTACTGTGATATAAGTTTTATGAAAAGTATCTAACTTTTAGGAGGTGATATGAACTCTGTTGTATGAAATGATTGTAATGAAACAGTATAAATCAATTCATTAAGAAAATGACCGAAATGTGGTGTGTACTTAGTTTAGCTATTCATGACTGAGAACTGACTGCAATGGAGCAAAAACTAGGTTTAATGCATTCTAACTTAAAGGTAATAGTTAACAATCCAGTGAGTCAGTTGGTCAGCTACAACGCAGAACTTCATACGGACATGCATCAGTTCAAGTTGCCATACGACGTTAGCACAGAGATGAAACTGTCAATTCAAATTCCATGGTAACAGATATAATAGAAGTATTAGCAATAATGGAGAAGATTAGAGTTAGACGATGCTATTTATTAAGTAGAGTCTAGTGAAAAAAAATTTGAGAAGATGGAGATGATGAGGAATTCAGAAGATTAGAGTTTGAGAGAACGCAGAGAATGGATGCATCTGCGCCATTGAGCCATATCATTCAAGGTCTCTAACCATTGGTTACTATCGTCTCGCTGACCCCACCCAGGTAGCCTACATCTACCAACATGACTCAGTCCACTTGTCAGTGACTTCATGGATTTCCGCTATGTTTTGGTTTGGTCGCACCTAGCTTTCTTCCAGCCTCCTCCTACACCACAAAATATTCCTCAACGAGGTAGTCACTGGTCGGGCACATATCCCAACCAACATTTAGTGAATAAAGAAATTCATTTTACAATTTGAGTTCTAGTGGGAAGTCGTGACCAGTGAAGTTCAACATGTTCGGGTGTAGACAGTCTTTGGGGTTGCGGAACTCCGTGAATTAATCTAAGTTAGACATTAACACCGTCAGATACCGGCCCAGTAGTTCAGAGGTTAGGCGTTCGCGCGCAAGACCAAGGGTCCTGGGTTCGGATCCTGCGGGGCGCAGGAGTCGTGGATGCTCATAGCCACTGATGAGTCCAATACTAGGACGAAACGACCATACAGTGCTTCGAGTTTCTCAATGGTGGTCTAACAATGATTAATTGATGATTTCAATGTGTAACTTAACAATCATCACAAGTCCGTAATGCAATTTCTATAAATCTCACAATAATAGAATCCAAATATAAATTAAACAGAATTATGGCTAGTCGTTTACTACTTAAAAGTGAAAATCTTTATGCACGCAAATTCCCGAATATGCAGTTTCCTTTTAATCAACAGCTGATTTCATTGTATTTGTCAACAATAGAACGAATACACGTTTCAACTGTGAAATAAACTACTACTCTGCAAAACTAATGCCACTTTAAATGACGCCTCAATGTTTAAATATATCTTAATAGTTTTATTAAAACTAATTAAATGACCATTATAAGAAAAAAATATCATTGAACGGTGAATATCTTTGATGATTACTATTTAGGCGTCCGATATAGAATACTTACTTACTTACTTACTTACTCATGTAGCTAGAGAATCTCATTTCTTTGCATACATAATAAATAATCGGTTTTTTTTTATTTAAACCTTTGTACATGAATATTAAAAGTACAATAGTCATTTTTAAAATAAAACTATCAATGTTTCGGACAGGAGACACTTATCTTGTGTTGTTTTATTTCATAAAATACAAAACACCTTTTTTTTTATCAAAACGTCTACATTGAACTGGTTACAAATGAACGGGAGGAGGGTTTGATAATGCACTCAGAATAATCCAACCTGATGAGTTAACAAGACAATTGTCTTTATTATTATTACTAATAATATTAATTCAGTAGTTTATTCAGTAGCGTCTCCTGATGGCGCAAGTAAAAACTAAAGAGATTTGGGGCGTACTTGTTTATGCTGAAAATAATTGGCCCATATTAAAAAATGTGAATGATCTCAACTAATCCTTTCAAGAGATAACAGAGAACATTGTAATTTCCTGTTCACTTATTCACCTATAAATTGAGTTTTATTGTCAAATAATGAATCATACAGGCTAAAAGCCGGTTTTCTTTTTTTGTCACAACAAACAGGCGAAACACTGTTCTGTCGTCAGATATAAATAAATATTATCATTTATAATCATCAGAATTTGTAATTTATGAATATTTAATAGGTAGGTAGATTGCTTGTAAAATATCATCTATTCAATGTTTATTTGTTTACAAGCAATGGACAATGAAGGGAAGAAGATTTTTCAACATTGTTCAATGATCAATTATTGTTCAATCGTTAGTTGATCATTTTTTTAAAAAAAATTTCTTTACAATGTCGCCATACGATTTTTTAAATGAAAAACAGTAAATAGGAGAGTATTAGGGCGCAGTGAGTTTTGAACCGATAGTTTAAGAGTTTATTCGAAGATTTACTGATGAAATCTCTCGAAATGTATTGAAATAGTTCTTCAGAAGCCTTGCATAGCTTTGAACAACCTTCAAGACAAATATTATATAGAACAAGATAATCCTTCTATGTCATCGAAATGTAATATATCATAGTAAATCTGTTGTTAAACATATATTTGAAATATGCCATCGATGTTTTGAAAGTCAATGTGATTGTACCATAAAATAAAGTTGTTTTGTTTAAATTGTAAAGTGGCTGGATATTTTTTTTTAAATTTCTCTGAAAACCAATATGTGCGTGTTTCATCATGACAGTAGCACCTCTTTCTAAACGAACATGTTCATTTACTGAAATTACATGGTTTTTCCTGGTGTGGAACTCGTTAGCTGTGTGTATTCATGACTCCTGCTACTCATAAGATTCGAACTTATGAACTTCGTTCTTGCACACGAGTGCCTAGCCTCTGGACGAAACGACCATTTAGTGCGTCCAGGTTTCTAATGGTGGTCTAACATTGAGTGGTTCATGATTTTAGTGTGTAAAAACAATGATCTCCATGAATGTAAAAGTAAAATCTTTCGGTAAGCTCTCTAACAATTAGCTTCGTACTGAAATTCTCGGAATTCTAGTGAGAAGACGTTACCAGTGGATTTCAACCCTGTCGGGTGTAGGCAGTAACTAATGAAGATAATTGTGGGTGAGTTTGCGCAAAATCTCTAGAGTGACCATTGGATGCCTGCTCAACGGTTCAGAGGTTAGGCGTTCGCGTGCAAGAACGAAGTTCAGGGGTTTGGATCCTGCAAGTAGCAGGAGTCGTGGATGCGCACTGCCACTGATGAGTCCCATACCAGGAAGAGATTGCCATCCAGTGCTTCGAGGTTTCAAATGGTGGTCTAACAATGATTGATTGATGATTTCAAATGTGTAAAAACACTAATCTCCATAACTCTTAATGACAGATCTTATACTAATTTGTTTTTGTTTAATTAAAATCTAATCTTTGTACTTATTAGCAAAAGCCAATAATTGAAAAATCTAGTTAAAAGTAAAATATTTTTGAAAAACTTCATCATAGAAAATTTTAAAACACCATGAGTTTTAATTGTTACCTTGTTTTATCCATATTGGACAAACAACAGCACCGATATAATGGAATTTTTTTGGCTCTTGACATGGAACTTCCACAAGGATACTAAAAATTCAGAAAAATACAAAAACAACAACACTGTCTCATTGGTATCAATGAAAAGTTCAAGAAATTCACTGTCTCATGAACAAATACAATCTAGATAATCACTGAAATAAAATGGAACATTGAATATCTGTTGTCTACGTAAAATACTTCAGATCCGTTGACCATATTCCAGTAAAGGAAGAAATCAGAAAGAAGCGCTGGAAGTGGATAGCATACACATTGCGGAAAGCACCCAACTACGTCACAAGCTCTAAATGGGAATCCTCAAGGTCGAAGGAAAATAGGAAGGCCAAAGAGCATATTACGCCGAGAAATAGAGAAAGACATGAGAAAAATGAACAGAAATTGTAAAGGACTGGGAAGGGAAGCCCAGGCAGAGTTGGCTGGAGAAAACTGGTCGGCGGCCTATGTTCCATTGAGGGTAACAGGAGTAAGTAAGTAAGTAAGTAATATTGCATACTTATAATTCCACACTACATCTAACTCATGATTGCTATGTTCGACTGACGTTAGTTCATGATGAAGTTTGATTTGAAATTGACATATCTTCTTCACTAATCACTTATATTATTATTGATAATTTTTCACTCAGTAATAAGTAATTTTTCAAAAGATTCCCAAAGTTCTATCGAAAAACAAGCATTATATTGTATAGTTATTATAATGTATTGAAGATTGACAACAAATTGAAAGTATGAACCACAGAATTTTCATACACTGTTTTAAATGTATCTTACTGTTCAGAAAAATTGAAGATTGGAGGATGAGAAATTTGTGTCGAGCTACCCGATTTTCACTCATCCCATGGTCAGTCTTTTCTTCTTCCTGTTTTTGTTCAGTTTAATAAGTCTACAGAAGTTTCGCCGGAATAGAAAAGTTTCATGTGTTCTAGAAACATTGGAACTCCAAAACTACATACAGTTCATGAAGACGATGTGATTACTTACTTATCAGTGGACGAGGAGAACACGAATCTTACTGATAGGTCATACACTTAAAAGATGTAGAAAAAACCCTGTTTGATTCTTTTATATAAACAACCCATCAAACGTGGACATAGTAACGGAGTCAAAATCACCATGTATGCTGTTGTTAACCCGTTCTGTTTTCTTTCTATTTCGGGGCGAAGCTGAAGAACAAGCCTTGAGTGCTCTGAACTTACAGGACGACTCATAAGACTTTGGTAAACTACCCACCCTTTTTCTGTACAAACCCCGCGTATTTTAATTTTCAAAAAAAAGACTGTCGTGGCCGTACTTCGTGTTCTTTCTTGGTGTAAAGTGTTAAGCTAACTCTGTGTGTTGCCATTTTATAGATCTGATCCGCTGTTCCGTGACTGCTGATAACACGTGTTACAACATTCTATTCACTAACTTGTATCAGTATTTACAGAACTCCCTTTTTGATCATTCAAAGCATCAAACTAAAGTTTTTCACACGTATTTAATTGACTGAATATTTCGCGAAGCGTTATTTATTGATTTTGATCAACAGCAAAAAATAATAATAATAATAATGTGCATTTTAGAAATCGTGATCTTTTCTTTTCATTTTGAAATCATGTTAATGTTTGATACATTGGATTTTTCTGATTTTCTAATTCGAAGAGTTAAATTTTAGGTCATAGAAATGACCTTAGAATGTAATTAGTATATATATATATATATATATATATATATATATATATATATGTATACAAATATATTATCTATTTAGTGCAGTTCGGGTCATTATGAGGACATATATTAAGATTGAGTAATTATTTCTTGAATAAGAGAGATTTGTAATGTAATGTATTCATTGTAGAATTTTATAATGAACCATGCTAACTAGTTATCAAGTCTGATGAAGATACAACATTACAATTTGTAAATGTTGACGATTCTTTGCGTATTCTAAAGTTTATGAAGACTAGTTGGTGTTAACGTTCATATTTCTCAGAATAATCCTAATTGTAAATGATACATATATTGTCAGCGTTAGAGTATCATGCCCAGATAGAAGTAATAGGCATTTAATTACATTGACAGAATATTAGCTCATCAAAGCAACTGGTACTCATACTGACAAAAAGGGTCCCCAAATATAATTTAGAATTAATAAAAGCGAGATTGAAAACCGAAATACAGTTTATTGGTAAAGTTATTATTTTAAGGAGAGTTAAGTCATGTTTCCTACAAAGATTGATGTGATTAGATAATGTGTCTTAAAGATTGTAATCAGCTATGTACTATGTGCAAACTCAAACTGTAGAGGAAATTCAAGCATGATTTATCATTACTCACTTAAGTGACTCATCAATAATTATTCCAATTTTTTCTGAGGTGAACTCTGCCTGCAGTCCTTCTGGGGTTTGTTCACGTCTTAAACCTGGATAAAGGTAGAAGGCTTGGGCATGTACTGCGGATGTTAGATCCCCAGAATTCGCTTCATAAATGTCTTTATTTTGGATTTTATGTTTCCGAGCATGGGCCGATCTGCATCCGATCCACCTTTCTCGTCGATGATGCTGCCCTACTTACTTACTTACTTACGCCTGTTACCCCCAATGGAGCATAGGCCGCTCACCAGTTTTCTCCAACCAACTCTGTCCTGGGCTTCCCTCTCCAGTTCTGTCCAATGTTTGTTCATTCCTCTCATATCTTTCTCTATTTCTCGGCGTAGTGTGTTCCTTGGCCTTCCTCTTTTCCTTTTGCCTTGAGGGTTCCATGTGAGGGCTTGTCTTGTGACGCAGTTAAGTGCTTTTCGTAGTGTGTGTCCTATCCACTTCCACCGCTTCTTCCTGATTTCCTCTTCCACTGGAATCTGACTTGTCCTCTCTCACAGTTCGTTGTTGCTGATGGTATCTGGCCAACGAATACGAAGTATTTTGCGTAGACAACTGTTAATAAATACTTGTATCTTATGGATGATGGCTTTGGTAGTTCTCCATGTTTCCGCTCCATACAGTAGAACTGTCTTGACATTTGTATTGAAAATCCTGATTTTGGTTTTGTTTGAAAGTTGTTTGGAGTTCCAGATATTTTTCAACTGTAGAAATGCAGCCCTCGCTTTGCCAATCCGCGCCCTCACATCTGCATCCGATCCACCTTTCTCGTCGATGATGCTGCCCTACTTACTTACTTACTTACTTACGCCTGTTACCCCCAATTCAGCATTGGCCACATAGGTGGTGGTCCCATTGTCAATATACCATTAGATGTATGCACAAATCGTACTCGTCATTTCTCTACACAACAACACCAACAACCACAGCAACAACAACCTCATCCTTTGCAACATCAACGACAAGATCTACTACCTCAAGGAGTTGCTTCAGGCATACTTACATCGAAACAAGTCAAACTGACTGTACCATCAGTTTGTGCATATCAATTGAATAATAAATCGAGGGATGAGACTACTACGACTGCTACTACTGCTCCGACTACGACTACTATGGCTACTACTACCAATAATAATGTTAGTAATACTCCTATTTCACAACAAACATTGACAAATACAACTAATTCTACTTTGATGATGACAAGTTGTTGTTGTTGTTGTACTACTGTGTCAACCATCGCGACAAACATGGCATCGAATGTAACGTCAACAGCAACAATTGTGACAACATCAAAGCCAGTTGTCGCAGCCAATTGTGATGTAATTTCTCAACTGCATAACGATGATGATGATGATGACGATCGACCTCAGTGTAACAATAATAATACTTGTTCTACAGTTCATGTACAATGCGGTTTGTGTGTCCTATCCACTTCCACCGCTTCTTCCTGATTTCCTCCTCCACTGGAATCTGACTTGTTCTCTCCCACAGTTACCCCAAATGGAGCATAGGCCACATAGGTGGTGGTCCCATTGTCAATATACCATTAGATGTATGCACAAATCGTACTCGTCATTTTTCTACACAAACCACATTGTACATGAACTGTAGAACAAGTATTATTATTGTTACACTGAGGTCGATCGTCATCATCATCATCATCGTTATGCAGTTGAGAAATTTCATCACAATTGGCTGCGACAACTGGCTTTGATGTTGTCACAATTGTTGCTGTTGACGTTACATTCGATGCCATGTTTGTCGCGATGGTTGACACAGTAGTACAACAACAACAACAACTTGTCATCATCAAAGTAGAATTAGTTGTATTTGTCAATGTTTGTTGTGAAATAGGAGTATTACTAACATTATTATTGGTAGTAGTAGCCATAGTAGTCGTAGTCGGAGCAGTAGTAGCAGTCGTAGTAGTCTCATCCCTCGATTTATTATTCAATTGATATGCACAAACTGATGGTACAGTCAGTTTGACTTGTTTCGATGTAAGTATGCCTGAAGCAACTCCTTGAGGTAGTAGATCTTGTCGTTGATGTTGCAAAGGATGAGGTTGTTGTTGCTGTGGTTGTTGGTGTTGTTGTGTAGAAAAATGACGAGTACGATTTGTGCATACATCTAATGGTATATTGACAATGGGACCACCACCTATGTGGCCTATGCTCCATTGGGGGTAACAGGCGTAAGTAAGTAAGTAAGTAGGGCAGCATCATCGACGAGAAAGGTGGATCCGATGCAGATGTGAGGGCGCGGATTGGCAAAGCGAGGGCTGCATTTCTACAGTTGAAAAATATCTGGAACTCCAAACAACTTTCAAACAAAACCAAAATCAGGATTTTCAATACAAATGTCAAGACAGTTCTACTGTATGGAGCGGAAACATGGAGAACTACCAAAGCCATCATCCAGAAGATACAAGTATTTATTAACAGTTGTCTACGCAAAATACTTCGTATTCGTTGGCCAGATACCATCAGCAACAACGAACTGTGGGAGAGAACAAGTCAGATTCGAGTGGAGGAGGAAATCAGGAAGAAGCGGTGGAAGTGGATAGGACACACACTACGAAAAGCACCTAACTGCGTCACAAGACAAGTCCTCACATGGAACCCTCAAGGCAAAAGGAAAAGAGGAAGGCCAAGGAACACACTACGCCGAGAAATAGAGAAAGATATGAGAGGAATGAACAAACATTGGACAGAACTGGAGAGGGAACCCCAGGACAGAGTTGGTTGGAGAAAACTGGTGAGCGGCCTATGCTCCATTGGGGGTAACAGGCGTAAGTAAGTAAGTAAGTAATTAAGAGCATGGGCCAATCAGTTGACCTTCAGATTTCATTTCTCATCAGGAAAATCCTTGACTGTGATTGGCTGCTGTGTATTTTAGTGTGCTATTTTTGTGAATCTCCCAATGGCGTTACTATGATGTATGAATAAACGAGAGTTGTATGCTTGATTCATTGTGTTTGCTGGGTGTTTGTCAAATACACTTTCTACCCTACATCAAGACTTCTTCGTTAGTTCCTTTGGGGCAACCGATTAGAGTAGCGTAACGTGTCACTGGTTCATTGTCTCTTTCTCGTTCATCAACTAAGGCGAACCCATAATAGTTTCTAGACGCATTTTGTATATCTGTTACAGACGCCGGTAATGCCCGTATTGCGGTTGTCAGATAACGGGCATAACAGCATGTGGTTAGCCAACCCATCCTGTAGAAATCCAACTCGCTGAAATTAATGCTAACCAGAAAAATAAACCTCTGGTCGGCGGCATGTGCTTTATTACAGGTAACATGCGTAAGTAAATAAGTAAATAATTTTCTTATGTTTAGACATTATTTGACTTTCAGTCATTTAGAAACAATGAATATACTTTTTTTCAGAAGATCGAACTGGTATCGAGAAAAATAACTACTCTAGGTCATTTCAACAGTGTTTATATGTTATTTGACTGACTGTGATAAAATTATTACATCTTTAGTACATCACTTGACTTAGATGAAAAATTGAGTAGAAATTATTTATTTAGTGGGATTATAGCTTTAAATCAGCGATAGTAATTATTGTCAGTAAAGGTAATTACTAATAAAAAGTTATGTTAAATTTATATTCAGATTATGAACTCATCAATGGCTCAAGTTCAACAACGTCAATGATATTAGGCTCATAGTTTAAAAGAATAATAATAAACGCGACGTGAAACATCTGTTGTGCATTCTGCAAATGAAATAGCTAGACGTCCATAAACACTAACCTTTCCATGAATGCATAATTTGGTTCATCTCCGTCTGGAACCACTTTTAACGTTTTAGCACGATTATGAGAACGAATTGACTGAATTGACGATTCATTTGGTAATCCACGTACAACTTGTCCTGAATGTGATGCTCTATTCAAAGAATTGGTAGGATTTGTTGATTTAGACAGGGAATTACTACTACCAGAATATACAGTACGCAATTCTAGACGTTGATGAAACCGCTCATGTTTGAATGCACCTTTTATAACTAATTGTGGATGCCATACTTTGTCCACATCAAGACGTACACCACCTCCAGCCATATTGACTAAATTACTTTCAATTACTCGTGAATCAGTTACTGGCCATTCAGCAAATAATGTTAGACTTGCACGACAAATCTAAATAAAAATTAAATTCAAACAATCATTGTGTTATTCAGAATTTATTTCGATGATAACTGAGTAATACTTTTATAACATAAATTTCATTTATTAATATAAACAGTTAGATGAGATTGACAAGTTTCATAGTTGACTTATAGACAACATTACGTAATCATCAATCAATCATTGTTAGAACAACATTAGAAAGCTGGAAGCACTGCAAGACGGCCATTTCGTCCTGGTATGGGACTCATCAGCAGTGCGCATCCACGATTCCTGCACCTAGCAGGATTCGAACCCGGGACCTTCAGTGTAAGCGGCAACTACCAAAGACAAATAGGTGAGGTCACGCAAAATCCGTAGATCAATCAGAGTTACACATTAACACTGTTGGATGCCGGCCAGCTCAGTGGTCCGATGGTTAGGCGTTCGCGCACAATACCAAAGGTCCCGGGTACGAATTAGGGGAGGTGCAGGAGTTGTGGATGCGCACTGCTGATGAGCCCAATACCAGGACGAAAGGGCCGTCCAGTGCTTGTGGGTTTCTAATGGTGTGGTCTAACAATGATTGATTGATGATTTCAAATTTGTAAAAACACAAATCTTCAAAACTGTAAGTGAAAACATTACTTAACCTAAAAGCATTGATGAACAGGTATTTTTGTTTAACTTAGCTGATGAGCTACAGATTTTACGATTTAATATAAACTTTGGGTAATAACTTTATTTTATGAGAAAATAATTATTACAAATGTACATGAAGAGATAGATAGTTTATGACGTAATCAACTCCTAACAGGAAAGTAGTCTGTCTGATTGCAAATATTTCCCCCCTAACTGAATAAACTTCTCCTAAAAAATGATAGTTTTAATCTTGTTTTAAGCATCATACAGAAATACAAACTGAATAACGATATTCAGATATTCACAAAGATTAGTTTAGCTGTAAAATTAATTGCACACATTATTATTATTATCAGATAAATCTTTTAGATAAAATCTAGAAAAAAAATATTCAACAATATTTCATATACAAACAACGCTTGATTGTTTGTAGATTGTTCAACTAGACTTTAACAATCATATAGAATGATGTTTGAATTTTCAACGATTTTCAAAACTTTATTCGCTCGAGCAAGTAGAATCTGCACTGCTGATACATTGAACGACGAATTCAAGCTTATTACTGAGACACTTAAATCAAACGGATGTCCCGAAAAGTTTATCGGTCATGAGAACACAACTACGACGAAGCTGATAGCAACTGATGTGCCCAAGAAACCAGTGTACCTACAGTTACCTTTCAAGGGTGATCATTGCATGAAAATTACAACCAAACAGACTGCAGCTGTAATAAAAAAGACCTTCAATGCAGCTAATCTGAGGCTTATCACAACAACTCAATCGATCTCAGTTACCCCAATCAAGTCTCCAACACCGATTCAGTCCAAATCCCACTGTGTTTACCAATTCACATGTAACTGCAGAGAAAGTTACTTAGGGAGGGCAGATCGCCGATTGGAAGACAAGATAGGGGAACATATTCCAAAATGGCTAATCAAATCCATGTTTCATCAACCTAGCTCATCATCTCAAAATTGATCAAGAAACCCAGCCTCGTCCATTGCAAAACATCTGATGATGAGTGGTCATCAAATTGACCCAAAATCAGCCTTTAAAGTTGTGACATGTCATCAAAACCCACACAAACACACTGAAACTACTTGAAGATATCTTGATTGGTCGGAAAAGTTCAACTTTATGTGTTCGAAAACAACTGTATGTTGACCTTTGTTTACCATGGTTCTAGTGAGTGAATGTCATGCTAAATAAGAAATTTTGACCTTATCTTCAAAACTGTATTTACACAAATAACATGTTGCTTGTATGTGACTGACGAGAAAGCACGAAATGGTACTATCTCACAAAATATGTCTTCTTGTTTGTCTATTCAAATTTATCTAAGGGAACCACTGTTTTGAATTTATAAATAATTCCGTAAAAATTGAAAAGATAATTGAGACAGTAATTTCTACTACTATTACTACTACTTCTACTCACACTACTACTACTACTAGTACTACTACTTCTAATAACAACAATAATAATAATAAACCTTTCATCACGATTATTTATAGACAATTAATTGATAATTTAACATTCATTCTTGTCTTGTGTTAACTTTCATAACATTTGTTTAATTTTTTTAAAGAAAAAAATACTTTTGTTTATTTCTTTTATTTCATTTTACAATAAATTCATTCAGATTATAAATTATAATGAACAGTGACTGATAAAGCAAGTCTGCTATTTTTGTTATTCAATTTTTTTTTGTCCATACTAATTATTTTGTCGATTGATATTGTTGACATCATTGTGATCGATAGTCGAAGTTGATTTTTACAAGTTGATTGATTTGTATTGGTCGGTTCCTATTGGTCAATATTATGATCTTCCTAGCTATCAATGTCAGGTACTTCAGTGTTTTTTCCTATTGGTCGCCTTAATTGTCAATGTCACAGACTTTGATGTTGTTTCTTTATTCGACCTAAAGGTATAAATACGCACTATCTATAACGTTTTCTAGGCTGGACTCGGACCCGGATCCCTAGTTCGGAATCCTAATTCTCTTCTGGACTAGGACCTCGTACTTTCTGGATGGTTGTAGAATACAGGTTCTACTTCATATCAAGTCTTATTCTTTTAACTCAATGGGGGATGGGACACTCAGATTAGAGCAGCATATAGTGTCACTGGATCCGTGATCCTCTCGTTCTCGTTTTCCGACTAAGATAAACTCTTAATAATTCAAACATATCAAAATGACATGTTTACGTGCATTCGTAACATTATGTTTGTAAAAAAAACATCGAGAGGTTGGCTTTATCAGCATCATCCTCATCATAATCCTCATTTAAATTTACAATCATTTATAAATGTGATATAAATCCAACGTTTTTTATAATATATATTACAACGACTAGTTTTTTTATTTATTTATTTCTGGCGTAATTGGCAGCATCATCGACAATAAAGGTGGATCCGATGCAGATGTGAGGGCACGGATTGGCAAAGCAAGGGCTGCATTTCTACAGTTGAAAATTATCTGGAACTCAAAACAACTTTCAAACAAAACCAAAATCAGGATTTTCAATACAAATGTCAAGACAGTTCTACTGTATGGAGCGGAAACATGGAGAACTACCAAAGCCATCATCCACAAGATACAAGTATTTATTAACAGTTGTCTACGCAAAATACTTCGTATTCGTTGGCCAGATACCATCAGCAACAACGAACTGTGGGAGAGAACAAGTCAGATTCGAGTGGAGGAGGAAATCAGGAAGAAGCGGTGGAAGTGGATAGGACACACACTACGAAAAGCACCTAACTGCGTCACAAGACAAGCCCTCACATGGAACCCTCAAGGCAAAAGAAAAAGAGGAAGGCCAAGGAACACACTACGCCGAGAAATAGAGAAAGATATGAGAGGAATGAACAAACATTGGACAGAACTGGAGAGGGAAGCCCAGGACAGATTTGGGTGGAGAACACTGGTGGGCGGCCTATGTTCCATTGGGGGTAACAGGCGTAAGTAAGTAAATAAGTAAGTACTTCTGGCGTAAGTATTGTGATGAAAATGTTTTAAGTGTATGCAAATATAATCAAAGGTTGGTGAATGTTAGTAGGCCTCCTATGCTCGATTACGAGTAACAGGCGTAAGTATATAAGTTCGTAAATCATTAAGTAAGTAGGTAAGTAAGTAAGTAAGTAAGTAAGTTAGTCAGTTAGTTAGTTAGTTAGTAAGTAAGTAAGTATGACCACAAGAGAACAAGCAAAGAATCTTTAATTTTTGGGATGAACATTTTTTTATTTCTTTATTTTTTGCGCAAATATTATTGGGAAAATGATTTAAGAGTATGCAAGGGTTGACGAATGTTAATCGGTAGCCTATGCTCCATTAGGAGTAACAGGCGTAAGTAGGTAAGTAAGTAAGTAAGTAAATATGACCACGAGAGAAAGGGCAAAAATCCTTTAATTTTTGGGATGAACATATAGCAGTTGTAGAGTATAATGTTTAAATTTGCTGGTATACATTTATACAGCTTCAATCCTTTCTGTGATAGAATGTGATTGGGCTCCAGAAAAATCAATGGAAACAATGTAGAAATCATTAAATCACTAGATTATGATTATTATTATTATTAAATAAATTTGACAAAATGTGTGCAAATAACACAAATTTGTGTAACATATAAAACAGTTGATATTCACAGTTATGATAAAGCAATGCTACAGTTTGGTGACCAGCAATTACACATGAGAGGGGGAAGGGTTAATTTACGAATAGCCAAGGCCTTCATAAACCTCAGAATTCGTCCTTCAACATTTCTATACAATGTTTTGAAGACTGTCTTGATGTCAATTTTATGCCCTGTCTCAATTATGTGTTTTGCAATCGATGAACAGGGTTTTCTATTTCCTATGTTTATCGGCTCATCTGACGTTAACTAATTTTGAAGCCACTTAGGTACATGTTCCATAGCCCTTGATTGCAAATTCCGAATACTCCCTATGTACGTGTGTCCACACAAACATGTAAATTGATAAATGCAATGGGATGTGATGTAATCATTCGAGTAACGTTTAGGTCTATGTGGAATCATGGCCTTAGTCTTTTTTGTTACAATCAGTTTAGCAGCGTAGTATGGTTTCTCTATGGCTGCTTTTAGTCGCTGTTTTTAAGATTAGACCATTTGATTCACATCTAAATAGTAAAGTGATATAAACCATTTTTCTTCTTAGCAGAATGAAAAACAGGCTTTTGTCTTAACTTATTTCTACACCTATTGATGAACTTTAGTGGATAACTATTTTAAATCAATGTTTCAGTCAAGAATTTTACATCGTCTTCAAATGTATTCGCGGCGTAAAGAATTTTTTTTAGGTTTCATTTCAAAAACACAAAATATTTAAATCAATAATTCTGTAGTTAATTTTGTGCCGATTACATC